TTGGTTCAAAATTGAGAAAGGAGTACGACAAGGCTATATATTGTCCCCTGGCTTATTTAATTTATATTCTGAATACATAATGCGAACGGCTGGACTGGATGAATCACAAGCCGGAATTAAGATAGCCGGAAGAAATATCAACAACCTCCAATATGCAGATGATACCACTCTGATGGCAAAAAGTGAGGAGGAATTAATGAGGGTGAAAAAGGACAGTGCAAAAAAAAAAATGGTCTGAAGCTCAACATCCAAAAAACTAAGATCATGGCCACTGGTCCCATCACCTCCTGGCAAATAGAAGGGGAAGATATGGAGTCAGTGACAGATTTTACGTTCTTGAGCTCCATGATCACTGCAGATGGTGACAACAGCCAGAAAATTAAAAGATGGCTGCTTCTTGGGGGGAAAGTGACGACAAACCTAGACAGCATCTTAAAAAGCAGAGACATCACCTTGCTGACAAAGGTCCACATAGTCAAAGCTATGGTTTTTCCAGTATCAATGTATGAAAGTGAGACCTGGACCATAAAAAAGGCTGACTGCCAAAGAATTGATGCTTTTGAATTGTGGTGCTGCATGAGAATCTTGAGAGTCCCCTGGACTGCAAGGAGAACAAACCTATCCAAAGAAAAGAAAATCAAGACCCTTATGTTAGGAAAGTGTGAAGGCAAGAGGAGAAGGGAACAACAGAGGATGAGATGGTTGGACTTAACAACTAAACAAGAGCAACAAAGTGTATTTCACCAGGAAGAGAAAACTATGGCTTCTTGATTAACCTGAATAATGGGCTGAAGTAATAGATATATCCATATGACTTTATAATTAGCTCCAGGCTTGCTAGAGACAGTGTCTGAAAAATTCATTTGTATGTGTCGTCGTTTAGTCGTTTAGTCGTGTCCGACTCTTCGTGACCCCATGGACCAGGGCACGCCAGGCCCTCCTATCTTCCACTGCCTCCCGGAGTTGTGTCAAATTCATGTTGGTTGCTTTGATGACACTGTCCAACCATCTCATCCTCTGTCGTCCCCTTCTCCTCTTTCCCAGCATCAAGGTCTTTTCCAAGGAGTCTTCTCTTCTCATGAGATGGCCAAAGTACTGGAGCCTCAGCTTCAGGATCTGTCCTTCCAGGGAGCACTCAGGGTTGATTTCCTTTAGAATGGATAGGTTTGTTCTCCTTGCAGTCCAGGGGACTCTCAAGAGCCTCCTCCAGCACCACAATTCAAAGGCATCAATTCTATGGCGGTCAGCTTTCTTTATGGTCCAGCTCTCACTTCCATACATCACTACAGGAAAAACCACAGCTTTGACTATTCGGACTTTTGTCAGCAAGGTGATGTCTCTGCTTTTTAAGATGCCCCTTCATGGATTGCTGCCTTGTCGTGGCCTTGATTAACTCAGAGAAGCTATGGGCTATGCCATGCAGGGCCACCCAATATGGACAGGTCAGAGTGGAGAATTTTGACTAAATGCAATCCACCTGGTGTAGGAAATGGCAATGCCACTCCAGTATCTTTGCCAAGAATGCCCCATGACCAGAAACATTTGTATGCACACAACCATAAGTAAGTCATACCTGGGCCACATCAGATTTGATGTGGGACAAGGTGTTATTAAAGTACTGTAATTGTTTTGTTGAAAGGTCTGTTTCAGCAGCTGATTTTAACTGCTGTTGCATGCATTGTCTTCTAGCTGTGGAGCTGGGTCCTAAAATGAATGAAGAACACTGGTTCCATGCATTGAAAACCTTCTTTGTAGCAGTGGACAAAAAGCCAACACATGGAAAATTCAGAATTCCTGGCATTGGCTTTCATACACCCATCTCAGTGCCATGACACAGAAGGCTGGAAGGCAGTGTTAATGACATAAAATACTGTGAGGGCAAATCTTTGGCACTGCCCTTGTTCTACATCAGATTTATAAGCATACATGAAAGCTTTAAATGTTTATGTGTTCTGAGATTCAGAAATGTATCTAAATCTTCTAATATAAGGTTTACAGAGGACTGCCAGTTAAGTCTACAAAACAATACAAAACATGAAAGTGCACCTATGCCTTCCTGGCCAAGATGCAGCAGTATACTTGATTTGAAAGAAAAAACTTTAAGGTATGGGAAAATATATATATAAAAAACAGAGTAATGTCTGAGTGTTTCAGTGGTCATGACATACTTACTAAAAGTTGGGGGAAATGGTGATCTGGGGAAGAGTGTGATGGAATGGAGGATTCTGGAGGAGATGACTGGCTGGCAAGAACAGTGGTGCAACATGGAGGAGCTGGGTATTCCCCATTTGGAAAACAACTTGGCCAAATAGTAACCGCATCCATCCTGTTGGTCGAAGGCTTGAGGCGAACCAGATGTTCAAGGATCTTTATATCCTGGTCTCCTTAGGACTGTGCTGATGGAGATGAATTGTGAACAGCAGCTGAAAACCTGCTGTTATCAGGAGAGCTTCATGATGTAGTAACCCTCTAGTCAGGACATCATAAATAAGGTGCTCTCACACAGCAGTAGTTCAATCAGCATGTTGTGTGAGACAAGTGTTCCATGATAGAATCATAGAATAATGGAGTTGGAAGAGGTCTAATAAAGGCTATCAAGTCCAATCTCCTATTCAGTGCAGGAATCCAAAGTCAAAGTGTATCTGGCAGGTGGTTATGCCCAGTTCTTTCAGTCTTTCCACCAGTCCCCTGATTATCCTTGAAGGCCTCCTCTGAACTTCTTCCAGTTTGTTGAAGATGGTTGAGGATAGCTGTATGTGTGAACTAGAAGTTTACTTACATATATAGCGTCTGAAAATACTACCAGCATAACTGGCTCCTGCTGTCAATGGGAACTAACACAACTACCTTTCTGGAATTTTTTAAATGAATAGCTCAGATTTAGCTGAATTGAGTAGAAATCAATAGGTCTCATGGTATACCTGCCACTCAGTATTATGCTGCATGCATTTGGTGATATGGACTCCAGTCTGTGAACATTTAGGCCATTAAAAATGGGTAGTATTCAAGGTGCTTCAAATCCTCTTTTGGTTTTGTTGCAATAAGTGAAGACGTCTGCTCTTTTGCAATATGATTCTTATGTTATTTCTCCCTCTTAGCAGATTTTTTTTCTTCTTCTTCAGCCTATGTACAGGGAATTCTAGCACCGGCTGTTCTTAAGGTACTGCTTATATAAGTAAGCAAACAAAACATAACAAGCAACTTAACCCGAAGCCCATTCTGCTCTTTGGACTATTGTTTCCAGTTAATTTGTACTTACATTTTTCTGTTCCAGAGAATGGTTTGTGCCGGCAAGTCATTGCTCAGAATGTTGCTTTTTCTCTTCTGGTGGTGATGCTCATTTGCTCTTCAGCAGATTTCACAAAATCTATGTATGTTGCTTCCTTTGGAATTGTGCATCTGGCAGCTCACTGCAAAGTGCTATTTCTCTAGAAAACAAAGTTCATGCTCCTCATGTATCATGCTCCACAGCAGAATCATTGGAGTTTGGTAGTAACAGTAGGGATTAGAGATAAGGGCTTCATATTCGCTGGCAAAGGTGTTTGGCTTGATGAACAACCACCCTGAGACCCTGCCAGAGCACTTACTGTGCAGCATGCATGGCTGGCATCATCTTCTGTGCCCCAATTCTGGCAGTAGCTCAGCTGCTGCAGGCCTTCCTCCCTGCTCACCTGGCCACTTCAGCAAGGGGGCAGGAAGGTGAATCTCCCTGCTCAGCTGCGGAGTGGTTGGGTGAACAGAGAAGCGGGGCTGCAGCAGCTGAGCTACTGCCATGATTGTGGTGCAGAAGATGACACTGACCACTTGCGCCGCACACCACATGGTATGTGGTCCGGTGGAATCTGGGGGTGGGTATTCATCAGGCTGCCCACCTGTGCCAGTGGGCTTCATATTCATATACAAATATGAAGCCCCCCATCTCTAGTAGGGATTCATGGGGAGAGCATACAGATAGCTGGAGGAAAGCATGGTCAGTGGACTACAACAGTGCTTTCCAACCTTGGGTCTCCAGATGTTCTTGGACTACAACTCCCAGAAATCCTGGCCAGGACAGCTAGTGGTGAAGGCTTCTGGGAGTTGTAGTCCAAGAACATCAGGAGACCTAAGGTTGGGAACCACTGGACTACAATGTAGGCTTCCTCATATTTGTGGCTTTAATGTAGGCTCTCTCATCTCGGATATCATGACAGTACAAATCTCTTAATATTATTCTAATGTAATACTAACAGATTCATGTTAACAGATTGGTATCCTTCTGTACCATAAAACCACTTGCTGTGCTAATGATAGATAAATTTTTGTTACGTCTACATAATAGAATAGCAAGTTTGTTAATTAATCAAAATGAACAAAGCTGCAGCAGATTTTTGCCAAAATGGATGAAACTCTAGAACTCTTCAGTCAGTGGAAATTGCTGTTTTGCACAGAAATTTGGAGCCCAACTGTGTGTGAGCTTGGCTTGAATTAAAAGGCCTCCCAGCAACTTTTTTAAAAAAGCAAGTTGAGACTGCAGCTGTTGCATATTAAAATAAATAATTGGACAACGCATAAAGCAGAATGTGTGGAATCGTTGTCTTATGAATGCAGTGAATGAATGCAATGTACTGTTTCTATACATGTGAAGAATATTCATGTTTAAAGTAGTAGGCGGGAACACCCACCCCCACCAAAAAAGAATTGCAGCAGTTCAGACCTCATGATAGGACAGTGTGTACCAGACGTTATTGCTGTCTAAGCTGTGGTGATGTGTGTATATGTCAGTGTGTTTTAGAAAAGAGGTAGTTTTCTGTGAAGGCAGTATTCCTAGTTCGGTGACATTTATAGCACCACTCTTATGCTGGCACTGAATGATATCAGTTTTCTATTAGCAGAAACTCCGGCTTTGATTTGTAAGTTCTATCCTTATTGGACAAGCTCATTTCACTCAGTTTATTTTTAAACCTGGTCAAATAGTGTTCTGTCAACATAAAGCCACTGTAGAAACTGTTCTTCCTGAAAAACTTCTCTTGATTGTAAGTGGCTAGAGGACAAGAAACAGAAGCATGGCCAAAAATGAAGAATTGTATTATGGAAAAAATGGTAATTATTTATCCATTTTTACTCTAAATAAGTAATCTAAAAAATCTCGTGTGCTAGATATTGACATAAAGTAGTCAGAAAGAAACATTTGCTTAGGTTTCAGTGTCTTTCCGATATGCCAAACATGATTGCAGCTATTTTATGCATTTATTTGCAGAGTTCTTTGAAGAAACTGTGATGTTTTAATAAATTTTCACTTAAATTTAATTTATATCATGTATGTTGGCTGGGGGAAATATTTTAACTCTCATGCAAGTTTCAGATATGTTCTAATATATGTTCAGCATTTAGCTTTTGCAATTGCAATGCTAAATGTTTTTGGGAAATTATTCTCATAGAACTTAGTGGATCTTCTGCTCTATGGATTCAAACTCTTGCAGGCAAGGATTAAGAATTACATTTCTTGCTATGCTCCATGGACACAATATTATCTGATGCTATCAATTGATGGTTGTACACAAGTTATGTAACTTGAGCAAGTTGCAAGAAAACCCAACCCAATCAAAAAATAACAACAAAAAACAGATCACAACATGCTAGCTGCTACTTTGTTTCATGTACTTGTAAAAATGTAACCATTTGATTGGTTCATTGAATCTTTTCCAGTGTCCAGCTAGTCTTTTCCTGCTTGCTTATTACAGTACTGTATTTAGTGTGTTTCTTGTTAAAGGGAAATAACACATTTTTTTCATGGACTTCCTCAAGTATTTTTCATAAACCGGGGGGGGGGGATGACCCAAAAGGGAATGCCTTGACTTGCTCCGGTCTGAAGGTAAAGATTCTCAAGGGGCTTGAAAACTCTTTAAGTATCTCATCTTGTCAATGATGATGAAGAATTTATCTTTCCATGCCTATTCTGAATCACATTTTTTCCAAGAGTTTGAACCATTTTGTGAAGTTTTTGAAACAATGTAGAAAAAGAATGGTATGTTAGTACATTTTTTTCATTAAATATTTCTTTCATGTGGACATTTACGAATTCAGTTTGAGGTTCCCCCTCCACAGTTAAAAAAAGAGTAAGCCAGCCAAACTTTCGCGGAACATGCATGTAACTAAAGGGAAGTTAGCAGCTTTATAATTGTAGCTTTTCCATACAATGAAAAATTAGCTGCTTTACTTTATATTGTTTAAGAAATAGGACTTAAAGTTGCTTACTTTCCAGTTTTCAGTGTGCCTGTGGGCTACCCTGATTGAACCTGAGTAGCATTTCATTACCTGATGAAACTTACCCTGTTCACAGAGACATTATTATATTCCATTATGGAATAGCAGCCATATTATAAGACTCTAAGCCTCACCCCACAACAAATCCAGTTCCCTCCCCTTCACATGCTATTTACTTTTGACATCTCACTTGATAAAGAGATAATGGTCCCCAAAACTTGTGCATTTTGTATGGCTCTTCATACTTTTTTTTTACCTTTTTGACTGGCTTATAAAGATATTGCCTCCATAAACAGCTTGAACATATTTAATGAACTATTATTTTCAGTAAAATACGTTTATTTGCAAGTAGCTTTTTGGGCTGAAAAAAAGTAATTTTATTTTTGCCTCAATGGATATATTTCCCTTCCTTCCCCATTTAATTATGCTTCACAATAGATGTTTTGCTTTCTCAAATAATTACATCGAGTATGTGGCAGGATTGTTTTCTGTGTAAAAATTGTTCTAAAAGTTGCTCTAAAACTAAAAGATATTGTTCCAAACTGTTTGCGTACAATTACTGTAGTGGAAAAAATTGAACCAGAATTTAATTGCACATTTTTAGTTCATCATTATTTGTTTTGCATTTTTGGCCAGGCATAGCTCAATGAATTAGGTATCTGGCTGTGGAGCCAGAGGTTAGAATTTGAGTTCTTCACTATACATCCCAGATGAGCCAGCCTGTGTGACCTTGGGCAAGCTACCTGGTCCCAGCGCACTCCCAGAAGAACAGAATGATAAAGCACTTCTGGGTATTAGAAAACCCTGAAAAGTTAACCAAAAGTCAGAATTGACTTGACGGCACACAATAATATTATTACATACATAATAGTAAGGAAGTCACAATTTCTTGAATTCTGAATTGTTCCAGGGTCACCCAGTCAAACATAACCTAGGCTATCTTTATGGACTGACCATAATTTTCTCTCCCTTACCCTCTTCCTGACTTGCTTTGCTGGGGAATGCTGTGTGGAAAGGTCAACCAGTCAGAAGGTGACTGGATCAGATGGAGGGAGGAACCTTCCCTGGCAGACCAAAGTGGAACACTCTTCATCTGGCTCCTTTGAGGAAGTAAATATATAGCTTCCCAGCTCCTCTCCAGCAATCTTCACTGAGATGTCACCTACCCATCTTCCCTCTTAAGAAAAAGAAAACTGTGTGAGCTCATCTCCTTATATTTTGGTACACATGATCATTTCTATCAGTATGAGAACATCTTTGACTGGAAACAGTAGTAATGAAATGTTTGAGAGTCTGGATTCAGTGATCACTGTTGTTTTCACACTGACCAATTCATTGAGTTTTCAAACAAGGAGAAAGGAGCTGGTTTGAACTAAGAGATCTCTATATGGATTAATATAGAATAGTTTATCTAATATTTCCTTCTTGTAAAATTAACAACATTTTTTCTTGTTGAAAATTTGATTTTTCCCCCTTGAACGATATTATACAGTCACATCTGATTTAAAAATGTGTGCATTTTCTCAGTTTTTGTATGATAGGAGGCCAGTAGATATCTGCTGAAATGCAAGGTATTCATGCGAAATAGATATTGCTAATAGAAGTGAAGTCATTACAAAAAATATAATTATTTTTAGATAAAAAAGAGAGAGTCCTTGGCCCCAATGGCAACATTATGTATGATTCTGTTTCATAAAGCCATCCTGAGCACTCAGGAAATTGCTGCTGTTAATGATGCAGCAGCATAATGTAGGGCAAAATAGAAGCACGTGTATCAGGAAGATATTAAGAGCTATCTTTTTGCAACCTTGACAATACTCTTTTGGAGATACAGGAAACATCTTGCCCAATGGAAAACTATGTATGCAATTACAAATTATGCTAATTCTACCAAAAAATTGCAGGGCTGTGTTGATAAGATGGATATAGCTATATGTTACATACAGTGCTTTTGCATGTAAGATTTGCCTCAGTCAGGCACATGCTGATGAGCCGATAGTATAGTCATGACATTCTGAGTTGTTTGAGAGTAAAATGTAAAATGTCTATCAGAGGTTTTCTAGAAGTAGCTTTTCAAAACTTGGAATCTATCATGAATAGCATCTCCCTCTTGCATTTGCTCTGATTGTTGGTTGCAAGCTTTTCTTGGATGCCTCTAGATGGACAAGTTGCGAGTATTTCATGTACATTAAACACATCGCTTTGCAATGATTGGTTCATGGCTTTCCTTGTATCACTCTTTCTGTATATACCATCTGTTTTTAACAGCATATTCTCAATATTTAGTTATACTGTATCATTATAAGTAAAGTACAGGATCATTAAAAAGAGAAGACTGAGTTTAAAACAACAGGAGAATATGGTATTGCTAGTACTATTTATCCAGTTTTTTCTCGCTTGATATACTTTAATATTCAGATTGTCCGAGGAAAAAGAATCTTGTTAACATAGGTGGAGTCTGACTTGACCTAAATGGTTTTTGATGGGAGTGTTCAGCATTAGTTGAAAGATAAGGCAGGAAAAAAGATATCTGTCTTTATATATTCAAGAACAAAGGTCACAAACTATGCCGTTTTTAGAGTCAGTGTTTGATCCATATTCAATATTTAGAATGTTGCCTCCACTCCACTGTCATGGCTTGCAAGGAGCTCATAGTAATTTTTGAGTAGTACTATGACACCCTCCACTTCCCTATTCTTTTTTAGCTTTGTTGAAGTCCATATACTAGTTGAGAGAGATTTCCCCAGAAACAGTATATTGTTGGTTCAGTTGAATGGACCATTAAGGTTATTAGCTTTACCTTGTTGATTCATCTTCCTGTATTTTTGGACTTTCTGAGAGGGGCTAGGGGGACTGTCAGGATAATCAAATTGACCACTAGACTGCTGCTGCTCCTGCAGGTCTTTGCAGTACCTGAAAACTAGTTCCAGATGGTTTGCCCAGACCTCTGGAATCTGTTTCAAGGTCACATGGACAACAGCATCTTTCTTCTTATGGTAACCAATGTTACCAATCTACTAATATAAATTTGAAGTTGTATTCTGCTGTATAAGAAACTGGGCAATCATTTGAGAACCAGTATGTGAATAAAATTCTGTAATTAACCAGAATGTTTAGGCCAGTTGGGTAGCCGAGTAAGTACCAGTGAAAACTTCCTTACTCCAGCAAACTCTAGAATTTCGTTGAGGCCTTTTTTTAAATCTCCGAAAGAAGACTGTAGTGCTTGTCTAAAGCATCTTATGTCTAATACTGTATCCAGCAATGGCCTTTGTTACTTTGGAAGGAGACGAAAATACTTTTCACTAGTTTTCTATATCTTTCACTTGTGAAGTGAAAATTACTCTTTTCTGCTTTCGCAGTAACAAAGGCCACTGCTGGTCTTGTGGAAAAGAGCTGCAGATACTTGGGACAGAAGAGTGTGAGGTAAATCAGTAAAAATCAGTAAAAACTTCCCACCTATCTGTTGCTACAAGCCACTACCAGATAATAAATCCTTCTGCTGAATCCAACTCAACATGATTCAAGTGAAGATCTCTTGTGTTATGTTCCATGTTCTTTTTTTCCACACAGAAGCAAAAAAACATTAATCAAGTTATATATATTATGCAATACACTTTTCCAAATTATTTTGCATTCAATTTATTAAGAGTGTTGCTTATATGAGCTGTATTTCTCATAATGTGAAGAAACAAGGTTCTGTCATCATTTTTGGGGCACAAACCAACTTACAGTGTGTTTAAGTCAACAGGAATCATAGTTTTTAATTAGCTGAGCTGCAAAATTATTTCAAATCGTAATAATAATGCTGCAAAGGATGGATTGTTCTTATACCCTGT